TCAAACAGCCTCCATGCTCACCAGATCTCGATGAAACAGAGCGCTGTAGGGATGCGATGGAACGGGAGATTCACATCAGAGATCGCAGCTGACAAATCTGCAGGAACAGTGTGATGGTGGTTGAATCTCTGCCACGAAGAGTCAAAGCATCCAGAAAGTAAAGTAAAAACGGGGTCCAACCCAGAGCTAGCAGGGTGTGCCTAACAGTAAAATCAGATTTTATAAAATGGTTTTACTGAGATAATTTTGTACAGATGCAATAATGCAAACACAAACTATTTTTATTTAACTATATATTGATTAAAGACATAATCAGCTGTAATTTTACACCATAGTTAATGTAAATTTCCACCTTTTAAGTGTAATAACTCAAACAGTTTAATTTATAGGCTGTAGCCTCATGAACACAAATATTATTTCCACAGATTTAATAGAGAGAATAGTTTGTCCAGCCAACTGCACTCAACTGTAAGTAGAATCAAAATAAATACAGAATCACTTTCTCTCCAAAAACGAGCTCATGTGGTTTCTCTTCTTCTTTCTTTTCCCTTCTGCAGTAGTGTCAACAATATTCCAACCAGAGACGTAAACCTTACTGACCACTGGGGGGAGACACACACCTTCCCTGGTGCTGAAACGATGACATCATGAAGCCAACAGCCATTTTAAGCTGTTAGGCTGGAGAAGTCGAAATAATAAACACATTATGATCACTTCATCGCCTGCCAAAAGAAAGATTTATCTGCCTACTGCCAACACAGACATTCATCTGCTTTTTAATAACAACATTCAAAGAGTCCAGCTTATCAAAATAAGCTTCCAAATGGGCTCATGTTTATCTGATAATACATTAATACACAATAGAGATTTTCAGTAATTGATAGTTCTCAAACATTAGGTTACAATTCATGATTTATGGACTCAAAATGATTCATTGACGCCTGACAGAAACCACGGCAGAAAAACGAAAGACAAATTGATTCTTCCTCATCTTTATGCTCGTCATACTTTCCGTAGTGACAGTCAGGCCAGTTTTCGCAACAATCCAGGACGAGTGGCGTCCACTAATGGCTAGAAAATATTGGACAAAGCTCTTTAAACCCACAGGCGCTTCTCTGACGCGGTGTATGCTTCACCATATTGTGCTAACCACCCAGGATTGAAATTTGAGTCTCATGGCCTCATTCTACCCCCTCGTAAACAGCGCGTCACATGGGAAGTGCAAGTATTGATTGCGTTGCGTGTGGCTGTGATTAAGATTGCAACAACATACACTATGTAGGCAACTTTGGGATTTTAGCATAATAGAGAAGGCGGTGTCCCCGGGGGGAGAGGAGCAGCTGAGCAGGAGGGGTTTCCATCTCTTTCCAAAGAGAGACAGACCCATTACGCCTCTTCTCCATTTCCTCTCTCAGGGGCAGGAATCAAATGGACACATTAATAAAACTTCGCATGTCTGAGGGAGCTAATGGCGCCTTGAGTGCTGATTAAGGCTGGGAAGAATTGGGTGTGGAGAAAGCGTATTCGTTTCACTCCCTTTAGTGACTGTTGCGG